TCTTCTTGCTTCTTGTCTTTCAACAACTCCTTTCTCTTAGATAACAGAACTTCATGCGAGAACACTGGATGAGTTGCATCCTTTGCTGCCTTTTGCACAAAGTCAACTAGGTCGTTAAAATCATACTTTCCTTTAACAAGCTCAAGCAGAAAAGGTGTCAAAGTCCTTGAGGTGCTTCACTGTTTTCATAGTTTCTTGCACTGTTACCAGAAAGTCGCTGAATTCCTGAAGCTCGGAAGCTTTGCTGCATACTGGCCATGACTTAAGCCTTTCATTGTATGCCTGATAAATCTTGTATGGATCACCAAAGCGTTCTTGCAATATCTGCCTAGCTCTCTTATACGCATCATCAGATTGCAGCCCCAACAATCCATCAATCATTTTCTGGGCTTGTCCACTAGTATATTCCCCAAGGTAGTATAACTTATGTGCTGGGTTTACAGCTTCACCGTCAATCAAGGCATCGAAAGCTAACGTCCACTTTGGGTAGGCCAAAATATTACCACTAAATACAGGCGGTTTCGGAGTCGGAAGCGACATCATTTTCATTAATTCTACTTGTTGTCTTTGAATTTCAAATGTCTCTCTTTGTATTTGCTCTAGGGGACTTGTAGTAGTAGTTGGTTGTAAATGGTTAACAGGTTGGGTATGGGCATTAACAGGTGTAAATGCAGGTTTAGTTGGATCTAAGGGTGTAGTAGGATTCAAGGGTGTAGTAGGAGTTGAAGGTGTAGTGGGATTTGGGGTTGTAATAGGATTCGAGGGTGTAGTGGGACTTGGGGTGTAGTGGGATTTAGGGGTGTAGTGGGATTTAAGGGTGTAGTAGGAGTTGAAGGTGTAGTGGGATTTGGGGTTGTAATAGGATTTAAGGGTGTAGTGGGACTTGGGGGTGTAGTGGGATTTAGGGGCGCAGTGGGATTTAGGGCATTTGTCATGTCACTGGATGTCCCAGTGTTCATATCCTTGGCAATAGTTGGCAATTGACTCATTTCAGTGGTATTTTCATGCAAAATGTTAGATGTAGGTTGGGTATTACTACTTAGCAACATGGTATCTCCCAAAAGTGCTTGATGTAAAACTTCTGCAGCATTGATCTCACCTTGTAATTGTTCTTGTTCCACTTGCCATTCTAGTTCTCTTTGATGATGTTTAAGCTCTTCTTGCTGTCTTTCGATATTTTGTTTCCTTTTAAGACTGAGCATTTTCTCCTTTAATGCTGCAGCATTCGCAGCGGCCTGTTTAGACGACACAGATGAAGCCCTTGATAATCTCGACATTCGACTTTTAACACTGTTCGAAGTTTTCTGCGAAAGCATCTCCAATCTCTCTTGTGTTAAATCACCTATTCTAGTTTTAACATCAGCACAGCACTCTAAGTACTTCTCACGAATACCCTCAAAATACACTTGATCCTCAATGTTAGAATTATAATTACTCAAAGACAATAATAACAAATCCGATAACTCTTCATTAAATCGCTTAAAGTCATCCATATCCATTTGTAGACCATCTTTACTAGCAGTGAGCTTCACAATATCACAACACTGTTCTCTAAGTAATTCATCTATACGATTTATACGAGATTCTACAGCCATACCTGACTTTTTCGTCTTTTTTCGTGCATTTTCTAAGTTTACTTGTACGCCCTTTCTTGTGCATATTCGTGCCTGTTGTTCTTCTGCATCTACGCTTCGAGTACTCCCTGTATCGTCTTCTGTATTGATTACAATGGACTTATCAATATTACCTTCGTCTTCGAATAATTGTTCGCTGTTCTTTCCCTTCGAGATGTTCTCTTCTAAGTCTTTTTCGCAGACTTTCGATCATACTTCATCCGTCTTATGACCACCTGGGTCCATAGCCATACTATATTCTTTATATCTTCTTGTAAATCACAAAATATATCGGCTTGTCCGTATAAAATGTGTCATACTCACAAATATTCACACTTGAAATATACACGTTTGTGAGTCTCGTTGTTTACTGTAAATGTTCATTAATCTTTATTCATGTTTTATCTTTAGGTTACTTGGTTTTGGCCGGGTAAACAACGTTGATGACTCGGCCTTTATCTTAATTTGCAAATCTTAAAATACAAAAAGCTTGTCCTTTCGTATTAAACATGTTCTTTTTTCTTTTGTGTTCTTTCGCGCCAAAAAAGGCACGACAACGTACGAACGTTTCCGATCTGTACACGCGCGCGTGTCCACGCAACGCGAGCACTTACAATATATATATATATATATATATATATATATATATATATATATATATATATATATATATATATATATATATATATATATAAATAATGTTAAAAACGACAGAAAACGTACCTTGAAGTAACAGGAAAATCACAGTCGGTATTACGAAATAAAAACACTTTGGAAACATCTTCTTTAACCGAGGAAGCACTTCTGTCAATTCAAGAACGCGTTACGAAAGCGGAAGAAATGAACCAACGAGGTGAAGCAAAATATAACGTGCGTCGTGCTTTTGAAATTCTATGAATAACAAATATCAAACATTCCTAAATCCCGAACTGATTCCTAAATCACGATGTGATTCCTATTTCAAACATTCCTAAAATACGGCTATAGATTTATTAGATTATGTCTAATAATTTTCAGATATAACGATGACAGTTTAACAATTACTTCGGATTGGTAATTTTCTATTCAAGTCGAAAACGCTCAGTTTGGTTATTTAACAAATGTATATGTATGCTGACTTATTTTCTATATTATGCCTATGCAATAGATAAACCAAACGGGCTTCCTACAAGAGCCCCCTTAGGAGCTGTTTATATGGTCCCGCTTACCCGGGATTCAATGAAGTGTGACGTATTTTGAGCAATTGAAATAAGTCGCAGTTCATGATCTAACAAAATTGCTTGTTACATATTGTATGAAATTCCATGTTTTAGACAAAAAACAAATGTTGTTGAATGCATAATCGTCTTCTTCCACAACATAACTTCTAGCGCGTTCATAATTTCGTTTAAACAATATTTAAAGTTATCTAACTTTTGTTTAGGGCTGAAACACGTATTTCAATTGCTCAAAATACGTCACACTTCATTGAATCCCAGGTAAGCGGGACCATATAAACAGCCCCTTACATTCCAGTTTCCTTCTGATTCACAGAATCTTCGTGTACTTCATTTAGATGGCCATATAAGTGATCATCATTTTCGTCCTTCCCAGTCCTTTTGAGAGCTGTATACGTCGACTGTTCACTTTCCACTTGTTCATAATTCGCATCATCTTTGATTTTGTCAGGATTTTCATAAATATCTTTAGAATTATTTCTGTCCCGGCTCTCGTTCTCCGGATTTGCCTTTGATGATTTGTGTCGACGATTTTGATAAATGAAATAAGCAATATTAATCACGACTGAAATGATCAGCAGAATTGCTAACACTATAATTCCAGCAAGATATTTATCAGAACCATCATCATTTTTATCGTTGCCTGGAATTTGAATTAAAATTAATTAATTAGCATTAAAACTATTACCATGTATTATTAAGAAATGTAGTTACAACTTATTTAGCTTTCGTCGTAACTTATTTTATTCGGGCTTGCATTTATTTATTTTTAACCCGCGTAACGACCAAAAGATCCACGTCTTTTTTAAATAAATTTAAGAGAGCGAGATATATTACCTATATCTTCTAGTTTCTGAACCCAAATAGTATAAGTAGTGCTTTGAAATCGGTCTCGGATATGACAAATATATTTTCCAAAACTTGATTGATCTTCCACTGTTACAACAAGGAAAGAACTGCGGTGGGGCTTTTCTATTTCCACGATACTGTCCAGTGGCTTTTGGTCTTTTTCCCAGCTGAAAGTAATTGGAGGTTCACCTTGAGCAGAACACATTAGGTTTACAAGATCACCTTCCTTTGCCTTTATGTCACCACTGGACATCTTGGTCAATACATGCGGGCCACCTGCTAAACAGAAAATAGTTTTTTATCGCAGAAATGTGCTACTATTATTTCCAATGGATTTTGTCAGGACCAACTTTACTCGTGATTTTACTACCTTATTTCAAATCATATATAAATACAGTTAAATTGGCCCTGTATTTACCTGTATATTCGTTCGTTTTTGAAGGCGGACTCCAGTCAGTGGAGTAATATTCACTCTATAGTAAAAGATGTGATGGTTTTTATCTGTTTAGGGGCCGACCATTTAACTTTTGAGAGGGGGGAGGTGATTGTGAAAAAATATTTTCTGCAAGGCTATTCTGAACAAAAAAAATACCTGCACTAACAAACTGGGGAAAAAATATCCTGCCCCATTATTTGGTGGGAAAAAAATGTTGCAAAACAGCATGGTTGCAGGAATCGATTTGACCAGTCCCAGAAGATCAGCTGGTTCGATTTTCAGGGACTAGTGTAAGGTTAATTTCCTGTTGGAAAACTCCTCAAAATGCTGGAAATAGCTTATCTGAGCTTCAGGAAATCCATAACTTTCTGGGCAGGCATGCCCCCAGACCCCTCTAGAGGCTCGCACCTTCGGTGGTCGACTCGGTTGTCTTAGAATCCTAGTTACGGCCTGATCTGCTGCCCTATGACGTATACTTATTAGTTAAACCATGCATATATATGCTGCAGGTAGCTGCAGTGATACTGACTTGCCGACTGGAACTTCTCCAGGTCCCCCGTTAAATATGTTTCCTCCAGTTACATGAACCAAATGTTATACCTCATAGCAATATGTATTATTAAAAGCAATGCATGAAGCTAGAAAACTCAACGTTAACTATAATTAAATAATCTAAATAGTATAAGCTATTGAAAATATAAATGCTGCGAAAGAGAGTGTGGCAAAAAAAATCGTACATGGTGATGGGATAGGAAAAAGAACTTGCACATAACGATCCCAGAAAAAAAATTCCCTGCCAGCAGTAAATCACCCCCCCACCCCCCCTCAAAAGTTAAATGGTCGGCCTTTTAGTCATAGATATACAAATGACTTCATCACGTGTTCTCCGAATTGTGTGGGCTAATGTTTATTCCTACTATGTTAGGCATATATAAACGTTTCCGCTTTACGTGCCTGGTAGTTAAGTATATTATCCGCCAGAAGATTTCAGTTTTGAGATGTTGACACTGGAACTTAGCTTCTAAACAGGGACGCCGGAAAGTCGATAATTGGGGGGGGAGGCAGATATTCATATATTCGTGTTCACATCTCTTTCAGAGGAAATAAATGATGCAGAACATGAATATCTGCCCCCCCCCCCAATTATCGACTTTCCGGCGTCCCTGCTTCTAAAGTGTGATAACCAGCAAGTAGCATACCTTGTCATTGAGTGCAATCCTTTGAAAAACACTATAACTAGTTCCAGGTTCCAGCGGACCATTATAATAATCACTAGAGATTGATCTGCGTCTTCGTGATGTTGGATCACTTGTATTTCTGCCGTCACCAAGTATAAACATGTTTCTATGAACTCCGCTGGATGCAACAACTGCAGCGATATAAGATTTCGGATTGGTTGATTTTCTTGCCTCAGCATACTTCACTAACTCACTGTTCTCGTAACTGTCAGATGATGCAGGTTCTTTGCCACCTTTTAATTTCAAAGCCACCACGTAGAAATAACTACAAACAAAAGTTTACATTCTTACTACAAATATAACAACCGTTAATAATAGATCCAAATAGCTTCTTAATATCTAAGACTAATCTCAATGGAGGCTCAGTTTCCATTTGGTCATGACGATGCCGACTATATGAATGTGGCCGATGTAACAGAGTGTCGACTTATGTCTGCAATAAAAATTAAAAATGATTTGCATACAGTAGACAAAAACAAGATATATAGAGTTCAGACTCAGCATATTAAAAGTATATTTCAACGGCGACCACGGAAGCTAGATTTTTATTGTACCATCAAAGAGTCGATAAACTTACAGAAACGTTTTTGATGGAATTTCCAATGAAAATGTGAGTGTACTTGACGTCACTTCTGTGGCCTTCTTTGCTGCTCCTAGAGGAAAATGTGAAAATATTATTCAGAAAAATGTATTGCGATAACGAAGCTCTGTGGAGGGTTTATGAACGGCATAAAAGTAGAGGGGGGTCTCGTCACGAAATCACGAAGATCATTTTTCGATTTCACGAAAAACAAAATTTCATTTTCACGATTTTTAGAAACACTGAAGCGTAACAAAGTCTGAAACCATTTAACAGAACTCGATGTTAACACAAACACGTTTTACTGACTTAGAGCTTTTGAAGGACTATGGAAATCATTGCGAGGCATTACGAAACATTATGCTGGTTAACGAAGTCTACGAAGAAATACGAAGGAATACGATAACGACGTTTACGATGAAACGAAGCAACCTCAAGAAAGACAACCGCGGGAAGCAAATTTATTCATTTTTTACCATAATATTAAATTTCGGCCGAGTTTTAAACGTAAACATTCACAAGTTAAGGTAAATATTGGTAAATTCAAGACCTTAGCTAGCATTTTAGCTCTTCACGATTCACGGCACGCATATTAATCACGATTCACGGAACTGTATTTCTTTAAATCACGAAGCACGAATAATGGCTAATCACGAGCCACGAAAATATCCTTCCCCCTCAAAGTAGGCAAACACGAAATTCTGAATAGGCGTTTTCTTCACCACAGAGTGAGACAATATCTAAATATTCGTACTTACTTCCATTCATAAAAAATGCTTTACTTCCACTGTAAGCACTACTTCCTGCTTTATTAGTGGCCAGGACACGAACATAATATTTTGTTGATGCGTTCAAATTTCTGACGATCCACTCCCTTTTACTGGTTGTAAATATTTCCAAGCAAGGACCATTTTCTGAATGTGAAACGCACGCAGTATAACTGATAATGACGCCATTTTGTTTATCTTTCTCAGGAGAATCCCAGGTGAAGGACAATGATGATGCACTTCTTGATGTTGACTTGATATTCACTGGAGGACCGCTTGGAGCTAAAGAATAAGACCAAGGTTTATATCTAAAATGCAAAATAAGTCTTTTGAATAATTTTAAAGTGAGCCATGTTAGATGAGCTCTGATTTAGTTTTCAGGTCTTTTTTTCTTTTTTTTTTCTGTTGGCAAAAACGTATCGGAGCATAAACAAGCAGCTAGAAGATTAAACATCAACACTTGTCCAAATATTAACACGCACTACAGGGCGATAAATATGGATATCTTTTAACACTGACCTTCTTCTAGCCTGCGAACAGGCTCTCAAGCTGAATTGAGAGCCTGCATCGATGACTAATGAATTTGAATATCTGCCCCGTAACGTTCGTTTTTCCAAATATGGAAAGTCTATTCTTATATGGTATTGTTTTGTTTACAACTTTCGTGCAAACTAAATTTAGACCGTGGAAACTAAATTTAAACCGTACAGTTTATACTGTTTTTCGAAATATAAGATATTCAAGCAAAATTTCAAATGTTTTAAATACTGTTTTCTCAAAACAGAACATTTCGTGCTTTGAGATAAGACGGCCAAGACCAATTTGATCAGTTATAAAATGTGTTTTTTATAATTATGCCTAGTGCTTCAGCAGTTGACATATATAGAGCTCAGCGGAAACATATAAATTATAACATCTGACCAATGAGAATTTCGCGTCACGATTTGAGACGCAGATATTCCAATTCATTAGTCATCGATGCAGGCTCTCAATTCAGCTTGAGAGCCTGTTCGCAGGCTAACCTTCTTCAGATGTCATGAGCGAAGCAATAGTCTCTTCACCAAAACCATGTTTATTTTTAGCAGCTACAGATATTTCATATGTCGTGCATGGAGTGAGATTCGTTAGTTTCCGTTTATTGACTTTATCTGTGGTAACATTCCGGATTAAGGCGTTCCCTTTCTTCAGTTTAATGAGGAATCCTATAAGAACCGCTGCACGACCTCTGTCATCTCCTGTGTTCTCTGGATCCGCCCAAAATATTTGAACACTTCTAGACGTGATGTTAGTGACCGTGAGGTTTGTAGTTTTATCTGGTAACAGAACTAGAAAGAAGGGAAATCAAATTGCATATCATTGATTCACTTTTCAATTTACTGACTTTTTATCAGATCTTCAATGGAGAAATTAATGTAAATTACTATCATCAAGCACAAATCTCGGTTCTCATACGCGGTTGCATGAGCAACATGTTATGCCCTAGGGAAATCTTGTGTGGCTTGTCTTGCGTGGTAAACGGCTAATTTCTACAAAACTGTTTAATTCAACAATTTAGAAAACAATGTTTTTTAAGTGGTCTTATAAAGAAACAATTGATTAACAAGAGAATGACTTAATTTGGTAATGAATGAATTGAGTGTGTATGACCATTATAAAACGTTATATTATTACACAAGATTTATTCCTATGGGTGATCGTCATTGATTACCTTTGCATTTACAATAGAAAGGTTCAGATATAACTTCCACTGCCGCCACTGCTACTTTTAAGGGAACATTAACCAATCAGATGTGTAATCATGGGCGTACGGGAAGGAAAAAATTAGGGGGGCGGAAAGAAATTTGCCCGACTTTTTCGGATTGTGCCCGAGTTTTTCGGAGAAACTTTCCAAAATTGTTGTCGACGGGGGGGAGGAGTGATTACCAAAAATTCCTATTAGATAGCATATTTCCCACAAAATTGACAGAATTTCCCACAAAATTGACAGAATTTGTCCCATTTACTTTTATAATAAGCTAATATTGCCCGACTTTGAAGCGAATATTGCCCGACTGACTTTGTTTGCCCAACAAACTGGAGGGGCTGCCGACCCCCTCGCCCCCCCCCCCCGCCCGGTACGCCCATGGATGTGTTTGATATATCTGATGAACCAATCACAAGCGTACTAAGCCAGTGAGAGGTGGCGGTAGGAGGAGTCAAATCTGAACTTTTCTAATTTCATTAGCCTACATACCACAACGTTTATTAAAAGACGTCGCTGTATCAATACATTGATATTCAAAGTAGAGATACATTGTCAATCCAGGACATAGATTAACAGAAAACAAGTTGTCATCCACAGTTATGTTACACTCATGTTAACCATCACATTGGTTCTTAACAAGACATGTTACATCAACTTCACAACTATAATCATCACTCAAACCACATGTCTTTGTCGCAGGCATTCCACGGTAAGATGCAGTCTTGACAACCATGTACTGATCTTTAGGACAGTTGGCATTCTTTATCATAGTTCTATAACACGTCACTGAACCTGGAACAGAACAGAAATTTGGAAATGACAAGCACTACTATGACAGCATCAAGTAGGGCAGGACGTTTTGTTGAATGGCATAGCGATGTATTCAAAATGGAAAACACCATTGCTGGACATGATATTCTTATACAGAAATTCAACATTATATGAAATATTTGGAACAACTATAGAGTCTTGCTCGTGATTGACTTAATAAGGAAAATCTAATTATACGTGGACTTCAACAAAGCTCTGTCTTCGGTTCGCTATTCGCTACGTTTTATTTTCTTCATTGATAGCATAAAATATATACAGCTTTTGCTTTTATGGTTAAAATTAAGGCGTCAGCAGTTCCCGATGTAATTGAATCATTCCGATATGTATGAAAAAGGTATAAAGCTTTTACTACATACAGCTAAGTCTTAATACAAGTGGTTTATGACTTGACGTCTAGCCTTTATAAATAGTGAGTAGATTAGCGGCAATGGTGTGAGAAATTTAATATGAAATGCCGACTGCAAAACCACATATTTTATGTGCAAAGACATCAAACAAATTAACTTCAAACAAATAAAAGCAACTTACCAAAGTTAAAACGTTTATCCTCTGCATTGTTACAATCTGACGTCAATCCGATGTAGGGATCTATTCCATAATAATTAGCAAGTCTATAGAATGTTTTAGGGACTGCGCACCGCGTTCTTTTATTAGGTATATAATGTACAGATAAACCTCCCCAAGAGGTCTGGGTTATAGCATGTTCCTTATCACGACAATTAGCTGAAGGATCTGTAGCAAGGAGCAAATACAACATAGAAAGACGAAAACCAATACCAGCCCTAGTTGTTCCCTCGAAACATCCCTTTCTTTCCAAATTGAACATGGCACTATTATCAAGAAACCGAGACTGAGCAGCTGGATCCAAACAGTTGTTGGAAAGTTCCAGAAAAGTAATGTTTCCCCAAGACGCTTCCGTCTGTAGTAGACTTGTGACATAAATACACATCCCTGTCTGTACATGTTTCACAAAGAAACAAGCAGCGCCTGAAACAAAACAAAAAAATAAAAATAAATAACCAAGTAAATAATACTCCTGTTGCGTGTCTATGTGCTTGTGTGTTTATATGAAGTACCATGTAAATAGATGGTTGTTGATGGCAACAACGTCTTTCACAGCTCATTTATATGACTTTTATCATGCACATAAGTATATTTCAGTTTTCATGCGGCATGCATCAAGCTAATCAAAGATAATTAACTGAACTGATTGGCTGTACATTTCTTTCTTTGGAGTTATTCTGATCAATTCCTCAGAAATGTAATTCCACAATTGGTTAAAATAATGCAAACGAAGTTGAATCCAATCTTTTATATTATTCAGACTGTTGTATAGTTGCTGCCGAGCGTAGCGAGGCAGCACACTATTCTTGACACGCGGTGGTTTCTCCAGAGCGAGTTATGTATTGTCGAGATCGAGATAAACCAAAAGCTGGAATTGCCTATTCTGTAGTGCCTAATATCTCGTGCTACCAATTATTTTTTCTATAGTTTTGCAATTCTGAAGGATGTGAATGGTGCTGGATGAAACCAAATGGTTGTTACAGTCAAAATATAATATGGATATATTACATCGCATGTATAATAGGATGGAAACTTCTGGATTAACAGAAATGTTTCCTATTAAAACAATAATGCTGATTTACAAGATTGTATGGATATATTACATCTAATGCAATGGGTGGAATCTGACATGTATTATTAAATTACTGTACTTGTTTCCAATCTACAATATGGATGTCAGGAACATTGTATGTCATGATATTACAAACCTGTATATGTACCGGGTGGGGCAAAAAAAAGTACGACTTTTTTAATTAGTATAACATCAGAACTAAAAGAGCAATGACAATAAAACACGTTTATTAGCATTCAGCGATGTCTAACTTAAATTTTGATATATGCCATGCACATTTCCATGCCATATTGACAAAGATACGTGCATTTGAACAAGAGTAACATTTTTGAAACTGAGAGAATTAAGCTAAAAACGGCCTATTAAATATTAATACCTTTATATACAAAAACATCTTGTGTTAAGACGCGTTATACTCTATGGTCAGTACGTTGACGCTTGTTGTTCAAAAGCAATCATCTATTCATCAGCAAATGCATGTCCCCCGGCACAATTGCAATATTTTGCCCGTGAAATGGGACAGCTCGTTCTAGACTCATTAGAACATACAGACTACCTATCCCACGAGTATCGGATACCTTCTAAGAACAAAACTTTTAATAAAATCGGCCTTATAAGTTCACATCCATTGCCCAACATCGTAAAACAAAAAATAAAAAGTCTGTGAATGAAGAAATATTTCTATAACTTCGACTTCACTTCATTGAAACAATAATCGCGAACAAATCGTAACGGTTATTGAAGTTTAATAGGGGCTTTTCGGCTAATTATTAGCGGTTCCAAAAATGTTTGCGTAAGTTTAAACACAATTATCTCAGTCATAATCGCATGAAAATGCACCAGACATATATCAAAATCTAAGTTAAACATCGCGGAATATAGGGTGATTTATTTAAGTGTAATAGCTCTTTTAGTTTTTGAGTCATAGTAAATCAAACAGTCGTACTTTTTTTAGTCCCACCCGGTATATGGCCAACAATAGACACCACATGTTAAATAAATACGATTGTTGTAGGTTTGGGTTCAAATTTAGGCGGATAAATTGACAAGAAGTCACACAAACAAAAGTACAAAAAACTATATTCAATAACAACCTTGAACATTCTTACATGAAGTATTTATAGCTATGAAACCGAATGTGACGTAAACATGCAAATCACGACATCCCCTCTCCTCTAAAAACACTTTTTTTCTCCTCTTTTTCAGACTGTTCATTTACGACTATCTAAATAAATATTCATCTAAAAGTAAACTATGATAATCTTCTAGTAATAACACCATAGATAATGTTCACAAGTTCAGTCTTTCAGGCATTTTGCCTTTTTTTCTTCGACTTGACCTTCGAAGCTCAGGAGCAACAACATTCACTGTACTTTGAACTGCGGGATCTTCACTGGTTGACATTTGATTCGTTGCATCATCAGCTTGTAAATCCTTACTTGTAGCGCAAACTTCAGACGGAATGTTATCACTGAGCTGGATTTCACTGTCACCACTCTTCACCATGTTTTCTTCGCAGGAATGAACCTCTCTCTGTCTGTCTCTACCACATACGACCGAGGAGTAGACGCTACACTTTGTATAATACCAGGCTGCCAGACTTTAGACCCAGGATCAAAGAAGCGAACAGGACTGCGTGCTGGAAGTGTGGGTAAAGACATTAATGACTTGTCATACAGAATATTTTGCTGGTCTTGTGTAACTTCACATTGACATCTCCGCTAGCCGAACACGATGGACTTGATACAGCCGGTAGTCGGTAGATTAGTTTGGTAGATTCTGGAGTTTAATAGTTCTGCAGGTGATGGAAGATCGTGACTCAGGGGAGTGCTTCGTAAGCACAACATAACTAAGTGAGGATCAAGTTTAGATTCCTTGCATTTCTGCAACAATCGTTTCACCGTCTGTACTGCTCTTTCACTAAGACCATTAGATTGAGGGTACACAGGACTTGATGTAACGTGTGTAAAACCATACGTACGACTAAATTCCTGAAAGGTAGATGAGGTATACTGTGTGCCATTGTCGGAATACCATGTTCCTCAAAGATAGCTTTGAGATTGGCAACAACAGTCGATGATTGGAGGTTTGGTAGCTTGCGAATGGCAGGGAATTTGCTATAATAATCTGTGACAAGTAGATAATCAGCATGCCAAAGTCGTGAAGGGACATCATGTGACACAAGGGGTTCCTTAGTGTTCAAATTCTGTTGGTGTTGACAGGGTGAACAACTCTTGACCATCTCTTCAATATCTCGATTGATATTTGCCCAGAAGATTGATCCTTTGGCTCTTAACTTACACTTCTCAGCGCCCTGGTGAGCATAATGTAGTTGTTGCAATACCTCTGTCTGTAGAAACCTTGGAATTACGATACGTGAGCCTTTCAATATCATACCATTTGATACAGTCAACTCGTCCCGATAGTTCCAGTATGGATGGAGGTATGCCGGACATTCTGACCTTTTCTCTGGCCATCCTTCTGAGATAATCTTGCAAAGAACGCTCAAGGTTGTGTCCTTCATGGTTTCTTCCTGGATCTGGGGTACTCTACGTAGGACTAACATCGAGACTTAGGAGGACTTCGTGGACGGTCACATCCAGACCAGGAAGAGTATCACCACGACAGGAACTTATTCTTGATAGGGCATCAGCTACTGGTACGTCCTTACCAGGTACATACTTGATTTGCACATCATACTTTTGGATTCTAAGCAGCATTCGTGAAATGCGAGGCGGTGCGTTGGCAAGATGCTTCTTAAATATAGCCTCCAGGGGCTTGTGATCGGTATGAATAACAACAGTTCGGCCATATACATAATAGTGAAACTTCTCTAGACCAAAAAGAACAGCAAACATTTCTCGTTCAATATTGGAGTATCGAGTCTCCGTCTCTGTTAGAAGTTTTCTTGCAAACTCTACTGGACCTTTGTCCTGGAGGAGGACGGCTCCAATACCGCGCTGCGATGCATCCACTTGGATTGTAACAGGCTCTGAGCTATTGAAGTATTGCAGGGACTTTGGAGAGGTGATTGCTTTCTTAATCCTATCCACCGCGATATCATGTTCAGGACTCCAAACAAATTCACTAGTGGTCTTCGTTAGTGCCCATAGGTTTGCTGCCAATGTCGCCAAATCTGGTACAAAGCGACTCAAGAATTGCACCATACCAAGAAATGTTCGAAGGTCAGCAACATTGTTTGACGAATCCATAGAACGAATAGCTTCAACTTTCTTCTGGTCAGGCCGAAGACCATCTACACCAACAACATGACTAAAGAAAGGTATAGATTCGCATCTAATTTGGAATTTCTCTATGTTGAACTTCAGGCCAGTTTCATGGGCACGCTGCATGACTGCATGCACGTTCTCGTCATGGTCACTATGGTCGCTCTTGTAACCATACACTATGATGTCGTCAGCGATTCCGGTCACACCAGCTAAACCACTGAAGGTTTCGTCGACCTTTCGTTGGAAGATATCTTGTGCGCATACCAACCCAAATGGGAAGCGAAGAAATCTATATCTTTCATAGGGCAAGTTAAAGGTTGTGTAGAGTGAACTTTGTTGGTCCAATTTAATGTTCCAATAACCACTGCGTGCGTCGATAATAGAAAAACATGTTGCACCATTCAACTTAGAGAGAACATCGTTCAGGGTCGGAGTAAAATGGTGAGGGCGCTTAATTACACGATTCAAATCATTTGGGTCCAAACACAGCCGTAGACTGCCATTACTCTTTGTGACGCAAACCAATGAGTTGACCCAATCTGTAGGCTGTTCCAACTTAGCAATAATTCCTTGTTCAACCAAGGAATCAACTTCCTTCTTTAGAGGCTCCCTTCAGGCTTCTGGAACTCTGCGTGGAGGGTGTACCACAGGGGATATCGAAGGATCCAAGGTGATGTGGAATTCTCCTTGGAAGCACCCAATTCCTTCGAAGCAGTCGCCATAACGCTTAATAAGGTCCTCTTTTGCAGCTGAATTTCTGGCGGATGGTGGTTTGGGGCACAATGGTTGTAGTTCCTTTGACTGAGTGGTAATACTGTAGTTTAGGGTAATCAGATTCAAATCAGTACATGTTGGCAACCCAAGAATTGTAGGTCCAACAGTGTCTACTACATGAAAGACATAAGGCTTAGAGTGATGTTCATGCGACAAGTTCAGAACACAAGTTCCAAAATGGCTGACAGAATGACCACCATAAGCAGTGATAACTGTGTTAGAAGGTGTTAAATTCACGGGTACACCTTTGGCATTACATGATACTGTTAGATGCAGCTTATTATATGTTGCCACAGAAATGACATTATCTTCTGCACCGATATCCACTTTGCACCACAAAGGCTTGGCACCTTGAGATGTGTTCACCTGTACTTGGACGAGTGCTTGGGTGTTGCTCCTTGACATCTGATTAATCGATAAGGTATAAAAATACAACTGATCCACCACTAGTGTTGCTGGAGAGCCACTGGAATCTGAATTCTCAGTCTGGTGGCATCAATCTGCTTTTGCTTGTTTCTCGGCTTATCTTGACTTTTAAGTCTGTTATCTTTATTTCGGAAGGGGTTCTTCTTTATTACCTTCGAACGACACACTTTTTTCCAATGATTTTCCTTACCACATGCCTTGCAAATTGTGCCATATGCAGGGCATAAAGATCTATCTGAAATATCATGCTCAGTACCACAGTTCCCACACATGCAAATGGGTGGACCCCGAGGTTTGGTATATGACCTTCGAGAATGCTTCAAGGAATCTATATGAGTTGAACTTATACTTTTCATTTGGTTATTCGTAATTTCCTCAGTTCTGGCAATTTCTAAGGCACGGTCTAAGGTCAGAGTTTTATCATATTCCAAAAGTTTTGACTGTGTACGTTTTGATGACGAGCCAAAAATAAGAGTATCTATGATATGTTCATCAGGGTTTGTAAATTGACATTCATCAATAAGTATTCTAATCCTTTTAACAAAAGAATCAACAGTCTCACCTGGCTCTTGTTTCGTTGTTCGTAGCTTGAACCTGGAGAGGCGAAAGTTGCTTTTTGGAGATAGGTACTGCTCGGACCGTGTCCAGTGTACATCGAGTTTCTTCTTATCGCCCGCACTAAGCCCCCCATGTTGAGACCAATTCAATGCCATCGTCTCCAGACCAAATTAGCAAGTAGCTGACTTGTTCTTCCTTCGTTTTTTCTTTCAACGTACTATTGAAGTATAACTGACATCGGGCTTTGAATTTCTTAAATGCTTGAGCTGCATCAGGCGACTGCCAGTCCATGCTTGGTATCGGCAAACCAGAAAGACCCGCCATCTTGGATTTCGACGAACTAATTTAGCACAGATTTAGCGACAATAACACCGGCCTGGTGTAATAAACTTTGTCACTAATCAAAGCTAGTGTTTTCCAAACACACCTGACACCATGTTGTAGGTTTGGGTTCAAATTTATGCGGATAAATTGAAAAGAAGTCACACAAACAAAAATACAAAAAACTATATTCAATAACAACCCTGAACATTATTACATGAAGTATTTATAGCTATGGAACCGGATGTGACCTGAACATGCAAATCACAACAACGATAATCTACATATTGGGCAAAAAACAATGGTAACATTTGTTTACCAAATGAAAACAAACAAAATACCATCATTACTTGCAACAAACGTAATCGTACCATGTTAAAAGACATCTATTTGTTATTCCTAATTATTTTCTTCTTAATTATGTTCTTCCTAATTATTTTCTTCCTAATTATGTTCTTCCTAATTATTTTCATTTTCACAAGTAAAAACTAAGTAATAATTTTTATTGACATTGTATAAATATAAAATTCTGAAGTACACTTTACAGTATCTAGTAATTATTGCATGTTGTAATTTCGATACTTTTTTGAACAAAATTCATTCATAAAGTGTGTATAAGGCAATTTAAATAAATGAAGTTTATCTTTGTAATCAATTCCCAGCACTTTGGTTGTAAGGCAGCACTTGCCTTGCGATGGTAACTTCTAGTTTAGATTTATAATCATTGTCACTTATCCACTCGGATAGTGGATTGTCGTCGATAGCCACAAAATAGAATATTAATTAGCTAGATGGCTGACCGCCGGGCGATTTGTATTACAAACTGTTTCGTTATGTTTATGCAATTTCAAAGTGGGTTTTACGCCAAACAGATGAGAAAATCAGAGACGCGACATATTATTAAAGTGGATATGACATGAAATTTCTTATTTTCTTAAATGCCAAAGAACTCTTTAATTTGTAGTGTAACTTATTTTTCAGTTTCTTGTTTTTGTGGTTTGTTCCTGAGATATTTCAATTTGTTTGATATGTAAGTGAGTGTGAATATGTCCGCTAATTTATGACGTCATGTTGGTTGCAAGCTCTTCAAAATGGTTGAATATCACTGCTATTATCTAAGATGATAATTTCAAACTTCACTCGCTGGTAAATGTAATGAAACACTAGAGAAAAACGTGAACTGATATCAATCAACAGTTTTTAGAGTTAATACATTTATAACCAGTGTAAGTTGAGCTTGCAACCAACGTGACGTCATAAATTAGCGGACATATTCACACTCATTTACATATCAAATAAATTGAAACATCTCGGGAACAAACTATAAAAACAAGAAACTGAAAAATAAGTTACACGACAACTTAAACAGTTCTTTCATTTACAAAAATAAGAAATTTTATGTCATATGCACTCTAAGTCAGGCTCAAAGTATTAACATAGAGTTAGGCATGTCCCGATTGTGCACAGCTACTTTTGAGCAACTTTTTGCGTTTGGAGCAAATTTTTTCGGTTCGAGCAACTTGAAGCAATATGCTGTAATGCTGCTTATTTGGCCTTGATATTTACTTGCTAGGGTTAATATCTGTGTTCTCTTGAAAACAAAATGGTGCCTTATAAATGCTAATATTTATCATGAGTGAACTAAAAGTCCTTCGTCATCAAGGCACTGATAAAGGCACAATGTGTGACAGTATTTTTTGTTGTTATTCGTATATTATCATTTTTATTTTATATATATATATATATATATATAAACGTTTTTTGGCATGAGCGACGGAGTTATCGGACTCAAAACTAGAAAGAATTAATAAGATTTACTCCAGGTAATCTCACATATTGTTCAGCAAAATGTCAACTTTGTATGACCTTTGTTTTGTTATAGTTGTTAATCTTTAGTAAAGAAAAAGTTTTCTGTTTATAATTCCAAACAATTTATCCGGGCCTACGGAAATTGTATAAAGCTTTTGCCGTTTTGATTAACATATGTCGTGAAATGAACGTAATGTGTACGAACAACTTTTTTTAATTTTTAGTAGCAATTTTTTTATTTCGTGGCCAATTCGGGCAACTTTTGAGCAACTTTTATGCTTTTTAGAGAGCAACTTTTTGGTTCCGTAGAGAGCAGCTTTTTGGGATTTTATGAGCACAATCAGGACATGCCTACATAGGGTTTATGTTTATTAATATAGAAGTAGTAGAGAAATGACAGTTCTGGGCAATTTTCAAAATAAAGGATGAATAAAGGATGACGTCATCATCATCATCGGAGCTTCGACGCATTTCCGGAAACCTCATGACGTTATCGTCCCAGATCACCCACCACCCGACTCTGTCACAAATGTCCCAAATTTCGGAAATCCTCCCACAGCCTGATTCTAGCAAATTTTCGGACTCCCCCAAAAATCCCGCAAATTTTCCACAAGTCTTCCTCCCACCACCCGATTTTAGCGCATTTTCCCGAATCTTCCGGATCACCCTCTCCAGATCACCCTCTTGTCATCCCCAGCAGACAAACCTATTTTGGTTGTTGTCACTGCCTGGTGGTGACTCTTAAACCCATTCATCGAGACGATGAAGTCTTTTCTTGTCTTCCTACAGTTGTTATAGTCCTCAAAGGTCAGTCTGTCCCTTACAACGTAACCCATCTTCGTTTCGGCTTCCTTGCCCGTCATGAAGGAGTACATTTTTGGACGAAGTCCACAGTACTCTACAATTTGTTCACCACCACACTCATCTTTCATAAAATTCGGAACTTTCTTGTTTGCATTGCTGAACAACCCACTTGGGTGATCTTTGGACAAATTGCTGAAGTCAGAGAACTTCGGTGGATCTCCCCAATTTTTAATATCTCCAAAGAAGTCGTCGGTTTCAGTCTCCAGCACCAAGCTGTCGGTGTCAGTCATGAGCAATTTTACGTTCTCACCATGCATCGGTTTGATGTAATCGTAGAAGAAATCATACATGAAAGTCTTCGACACATCCAGAATGGTCATTCCGAGATAGATCGGTTTGTTTAGGGTGACTTCACTCTTTTTCATGTGAGCTGCCACTAGACTTTCCGTGAAGATTGTGACTGACTTAAAGTTTGATTTTTCGCCAATTATTCTTTCCATTCCTCGGACGTCACTAGTCTGATGTCGACTCGGTTCCTGACGTTCACCATCGTCTTCCCGAACACGGCGTTGTTCATCAACTTGAAGAAGTCTGTTTCAAAGTCAGCCTGCTTCGAGACTGCACGCAACCCCGTGTTCAGTCCCATATACTTCTTTAACCAAGCTGTTTCTTTGAATTTGAATCTTCTGTGAACTTTGTGACAACGAGTCCTCTCTGAATATAGATTTTGAGAACCTGATCACATATTTTTCCTTATCATTCAGATTTGGTACCAGTTTGTGAACTTTTCTAATTAGGACTCGTTCCGGAGTCAACGAATGACAGTTGTGGTAGGCGTGTAACTTTTCGGGATACTTGAGGTTGACCTCCAGAATGCATGGGATGTTTTCCCAGTAGTGTAGTTCGTGCACTCATCCATTTGAAGTTACCGACTGGTAGCTTGTCGCTCATCGCACAACTATACAAGTTGTCAAAATCCAGAATGTACTTGCTTTTCTTACATTTGTCATGATCTTTCATACACTTGTTGTTGGCTTTCAAGTAGCGTTTGCTGATCATGCTAATACCGTACCCCTGATTCGGTTCTCAATCATGAGGTACATGTCGGGATCTGAGATGAGTTCGAGTTGAGACTTGATGAGACTTTGGTTAGCTTGAGTGTAGCCTGCGTAGCGGCTATCAGAGAAAGGACAGCCTGCACGAAACCTCCTGCTTTTCTGTATTTACTCGTTCTCTCAGAGGACGAGAAATCTGATTGGTTCAAAATGAAAAAAATATGCTAATTTATGCTAAAATTCATACAAATACGGCGGATGTATTATTGAGAGCGTTTCTTTGATTTTTGCATTCAAAAGAGCTTAAAGCCACGATTTACGGTTCAACAATAAAGGTATTTACGAACTTGGTTCACGAAGCTCTAGAGATATTGACTGTGGTGTCTTCGTTGGATTGTTGTCTAATTGCTGTCGTCTAGCGCCTCTTTCACAAGCGTGTTCGTTTTGATCAATTCATCGACGACAAATAGATTTTTTCTTCATGATTTTGTACCTAATAATTTTGTGCCAGGAGAGAATTGCTGTAAATGCTTATGTCTTATGAACAGGACTTACTCCCTCTGAAGTGATGGCTTTAGACACCTTTAATATTCTCTTCTCTGCATCGCTCGAAGCTTTAATAACATTTAATACATCACGCTCGACCGCTGTCGAAACTATAAATTATATTTGTACGTGTGCGAGAAAGCTACGAAATATCGTAGATATACGGACTGCAAACTACTTGTGACAACGATGGAGATTGCCCTAGGCCTAGTGCTATTCCCACAGACTTCAATTTTCTTTAGCCGACATCCGTATATCAGTTTCGTTTTGAAATTTGCGAACATACAGCAATCTAGATTTATATTTCATTTTGACAAGTAAATTTGCAAACGTAAACAATCTGTGTGATTGGTCAATTTTGACATCTGTTTAAAGTGGGCGTAGCCCGCAGGCTAAGTGGCCGGAAATGGCAAAGCATGGGGTTTCGTGCAGGCTCTACTTTCCCTGAGAGCCGCTGCGCAGTCTAGCTTGAGTGCAGCATAGTACGCAAGTCCAGGAGCGGTGTAGTACCACAACGCATCTAGTCAACGTATAGTCTTTGAAGGACATTTTCCTGAACTTTTCGAAGGCGTCTGCAAGTAGTAACGTGTCATTTATCAGGTACAGATCGTAGTAATCCATGATGTTTTTACATCTATGCTTTTTCCATACCGCTTTCGCTCGCTCGCATTCCTCGTTGGTAATATGCTTATTGTTAAGCGAGCTGTAGACGTCGTCCGGTTTCGTAAAGTATGTCCAGTTTCTTTACATATTCGTAGGGGCAGATACCTTTCTCTCTAAACAATTGATCGACTCAAAGTAACCATCTAAGTTCACAAAGTCCTCTGCAGACAAACTTTTTACTAACCTGTCGAGAGAACTACTCATGAACTTGAAGGAGTCCAGAAATCTTATTTCGATGGTACGACCGTTCTCCATTTTAACTACTTTTGAGAATGAAATATACTTTTCTTCCGTTTTGGGGATACACTTGACGATGTCGTCCCTTTTTACTAATTCTTTTATGAAAAGGTGAGAGTCATATCTCTCCAGGTTGTGGAACAGACAGGGAATGAACTTTGGTTTTTTCACGAAGATATTGCATTTGTTGTTTGCTGCTCCCCTATACTTTCCTGTGAAATGGCAGTGATCCCTAACATTGTCTACTTTGCCATTGTCTTTTTTGAAGACATAACAGTTTGTAATCATTTTGAAGTCTGTTTCGTTCTTAGTTGTTATTTTGATTGAAAAAGGGTTTTGAAAAATCTATCGAAGATGTCTCTAACATCAGCTTCCAAACTACTCACGAACGATCGACTATGTTTTCCATCTCATCTTTTTTGGTGAAGATTCTGAGTTTTGGATTGTATAGATTATTATCAAAACATTTCGAGTAATAACAGAACCAAGATGGGGTGTGGGTGCCGTCCGCAAAACAATCAGTATCAGCATAAAATACAAACGGGACTTCTGTTGTTGCTTTGTCGTTTATGCTCCGGGTTTCGGATATTTTACTTTTCTATGTTCGTAATTCCTACACATTTCCGTGTGATAGTCTAGGATATCCTTCCTTTTCAAGGCGTTCATACTGTAGAGACAAACGTGTTTGGATCCGTCATGTTTAATTTGCTAAGCTGTTTTGTACATTGTCTGCTGATGTTGCTAACCATACTGTAATGTTCGTCGTGTAAAAACAGGGTAACGACGATGTCGTACTTTCTATAATTAGCTAATCTCAGTGGGTATACATCTGAATCGTTTTCGGTACTGAGGACGTTCACTCCGACGCAAATATTGTTAATCACGCCAATACTGCTAAAACCTCTTCTGAAAAGAACGAATATTTCCTGAAAGATGTTTTTGGCAAGGGTGGGTAGTAGCGAAGTAGTTGTAGTTCGCCACTGTAGCGAACTACAATTTTCAAGTGGCCAGTAGTTTTTGACTACTTTTTTAAAACAGTAGCTGTAGTTATAGCGAACTACATTTTGCCTAAAAGTAGCCAAGAAGTTGGCTACTTTTCAAACAGCGAATCGCTATTCGCTACTTTTTAAAATTGTTAGTAACTTGATAGAATAGCATGATATTGAAACACGGTCTGCTTAAAATCAATACTCAATAGTCAATTTGCACGCCTGAACACTGTAGTGCTTTCAGAAATGTTGCTTTGTGTTTACTGTTGTTAGTCGTAAATCGATTTGTTATAGGTTACATTCCAGCCGGAGTTAATAGATGCTCCAAATACAGTAAAACTAAAAATATAGAGTAGAGAAATAGCGAAATAGTTCGCTACATTTTTTAAGCAGTAGCTGTAGTCAGTAGCGAACTACCTTTCTTTAAAAGTAGCAGTAGTTGTAGCTGACTACATATTTTTGAAGTAGCTGTAGTTATAGCGAACTACAAAAAAATTGTAGTCAACCCACCCTTGGTTTTTGCCTGCTTTTATAAAGTACACATTAAGAATTTTATTATTTTCTTCTACTTTTGTAATATTACTTTACTTGAGAAAAGCCTGTTATAAGTAGTGAAATAAAAACCGAATTTGAATTCCCCCAAGGCGTAAATATAAAGTCGACCTGCAAAGACTACGTGAAGTCGATGAAGTAATAACAGGCGTCAACGGCGATGGCGAGTTGGCATGAATGGCATTGTTGTTATCAGCTCTAGTTCTCGGCAAGCGAAATCGATGGTTTATTTCATGATCATCTTCAGTGACAGTGGCACCAAATTGCTGATCTTGCCTGGGCCTATTGTCTGGGACAAATAGTTCGCCAACTATCCCCCGGACCAACGACTGAATTATATCTTCCGTCACATGCAAACTATCCTCTTCAATGCTGTTGTATGCGAGGTAAGGTATCGTTATTGAAACACGTGAGCCAAAAGGGTGCTTTGTAATTAAAACTTACCCTGGGAACTCGCAATATTTTATTCTCCCGCCGTAAACAAAGTGCGGAAATATTATGCAAATTGTTTCTCCCTAAATAAATTAACATGCTAATTTGCCGAACCCCCCATGAAGAAAGTTCGACTTTTTTGTGTGTGACATTTCGACTTGTGTGTGAGAGGTTCGTATTGTGTGTGTGACATTTCGACTTGTGTGTGCGAGGTTCGGCTTATTAGCGCGTGGTTCGAATGTCTTTTGTGAGCGTTTCGTATTACATGTGTGAGCTTTCATAGTGTTTACAAGCATTGGACTTAATTGTGTGTGTTCATAATTTTGTCCCTTTTGGACGCCCATAATTGAATTTTAAATGTAACTAGATCATTAACCTTCAGTTATCCAACGTTCCAACTGACAAGCAGATTGGGCGAGAGAGACTAATTTTATGGCTGTGCTGAGTGGTTATATTGCTACCTTAAAAAATAAGCAGAAACTCGACGTTTCGAGCGAAGGCCCTTCGTCAAGAGTTAGTAGCTACTAACTCTTGACGAAGGGCCTTCGCTCGAAACGTCGAGTTTCTGCTTATTTTTCAAGGTAGTAATATAACCACTCAGCACAGCATTATCACATTGGTACTACCAACACTGGTACAGACAGTTTTAGTATAATTTTATGGCTGAGTGTGGAGGTCATGACAGGTGGTCTAAAATACCGCCTGCTGAGTTTGGCAGTGTAATTTGATAACCGCCCACTTTTTGTCCTTGTCCAATTAGCCAATCAGCAAACACTAAATATATTAATAATCAAACTGTCAAACTATGTTATTGTTTGTTCGCAAAATTGCAAATATAAAATATGTCGAAAGAAACGCCATTGAAAGTTTCAAGCAGGACCTCTGAATCACGACAAGAGGTAGAAAAGCAAGCGCGGAAATGTAAATGACCACTGTCGTTTGTGTATAAGTGTGCTTTGAAACTAAAATATGGGGCAATAGAGAAAATATCTCATATATCGTCGGAGAATTTATTTAAGGTAATTCCGCAGTAATTGTTCCCGAAATGAGAATGTGCTGAAACTTCCCATACTGAAACTTCCCAGGCATTTTCCATCTATTAACTCGAAATATGATTACAACTTATAAATTTTGTGCGCGAGCCATTTTTAGTTTGTTGGAAAAGACACCCCCTGGTTCACAAAATTTGAGTTCGAGAAATTTTTTTCATTATTCTACACTATAAGTACCTAAAGAAACTACATATATAAAAAACCGGATACAAATAGGTGTTTTGCGAAATTGAGAGCAATTTCAAATCTGTTTATACACCCTGTATAGTAAATATCATGCATATACAGTACTGGACATTATTACATTTATAATATTCCATAAAAAACCCCCACAAAAACATACACTCTAAGGGAGCGGTCATAAAGTAAGTGCTACCCCGGGGCGGAGGATATTGGGATGGGGTATGAAATTTTTTCAGGGATCTGGGTGGGGTATGAAATAAATTTATCACTTTAAAGAGGGAGTATGAAACAAAATTTGTTTGTTTCAATACAAAAATTGTGTTAATTAATACAGTTTAATATCATGGCTCCGTTCATCGTACAAATAATTTTGCATACATCACTGCCATCATTGTCTCAAAAGATTTGACCATTGCTCAAGTAGTCTCCCTTGCAGTTGCTCTTTGTGTTGTGATTTTATTCCTCTTCATGAGCTTGTGTGGAGGAGTACATGATGACAAAAATATTATTCAAAGAACGGCTGTAAGAGAGACTATTGCACCGCATATTTAATACACAGTGTAATCATTTTTAACCCTATTTGTACCTGGGGTGCGCAAAATGATCTCATTTGCCTATGCTTTCATTTTTTTGAATATTTTTTTATTTGCCATATAAAGCTAAATATATTTACAATCTATATTTTTTACAAACATTAAGGGCTAGGAACCTTTATGAAACCCTATCAGGCTTTTATTCAAAGGCCCCTAGTTTAACAATATTAATTATTATATAAAAATAGTTAAAGCTTGTTCAATCTTGTCAAAGACAAAGTAAGAGTATTTACAAATATAGTGATTTGAATATAAATATACACAAGAGTTTATTATGTGAGATTACAAATGAAAGCCGTTAGGTATATTCCAAGAAAAGGCTTTTCAACTTTTTCTTAAAAGTAGAAAACTTAGAAGAACGTAAAACTTAGAAAACGTAAAACTTTTTCTTAATTTCATGACTTTTAATATTTTTCCTCTGCCGTCATGACTGCGGAAAATGTCTTCTGAAAGTGCAAGGTTATTCGGACGTTTGACGGCATTTGTCAAACAAGGTGTCAGGGCCAAAAATGGGAAAATGTGGGTTGGACAGTATTTTTTGGCTGAATCACTTCCAAAGACATGCATAAATAACATAATATAATTTGAGAACATATAAAGTTGGGTTATTACACATGATTTGCAAAGTAAAATATCTATAATATATTATACTATAAAATACTTATGTAAAATACTTCTTTATAATATTTTTATATATACAAATACACATATTTCTAATTTCTTTGTACGTTCAAGGCATAATATCTCCCTGTCTTTGAGCAAACACCAAACATTTAGGAACCATAATATATTGCAGAGTATATGAACTTCTTTGATACAACAAATGTACCAATTTAGTATAAAATATTTCGCATAAAATCCAGAGGATTGTCATAATTTTCAAAGTAAATATTGTTTGCAAAACTATACTGCATGCTCGTAGCCCACCAGCGTTACACTTCATGTAACACATATATATAGGATATTGGCCTGGTATAAAAACATGGTCGCTATTTCGTATTTTTTCTACAAACTTTTCTTGATCGACTTCGTTGTTTCTTCGGTTTACACTAAAGAAGTTATGCCACCAAAAAGAGCTAGGGTTTCAGCAGAATGCGCAATTGCGAATATTATGCAATTTATGCGATTTATGGAACAATATGACAACAATGACAGTGTCACAGTGATGATGGTGAAATCAGTGTTGAAAATGATTTGGATTTTTATATGGGGAGACAGGTCAGTTTCAGTTGTATATCTTTTCATATGGTACAGAAATGCCAGCTTGTAAAGAAAAATAGTGGTGTTTATGGACATCTGAGGTATGCCATATCATAAAAGTATGTTTTTTGAATGTAAAAGAGTAATTAAAAGACCCAATGTCACCCAAAAATATCACATCCAAAATGTTTTTTATCTCTTTACATAAAATAACCAAAATGGGTAAAATATTAGCAATATTTGCCTTTTTTGACAGGTGGTCGTATTCAATGGGGTCAAAAAACAGCATTTTGGATGTGAATTTTACTTTTTTTGTTATTTTTAGTTAAAGAAAGATAAAACTTACTAAAAATAAAACTTATAGGATAATGGCAATTAGTCAACAGAATTTCTGAGGGGTGCATCCTATCAGCGCACCCCCAGTCATATCAACATGGAAAAAAACGGTAAACTTGTTGTTTTATGATGGGGTATGAAACATTGAAACCGTTATCTTGATGGGGTACCAAATATTATCCGACAATTTTGTGAGGGTATGAAATTTTGTCCACAAAATTAAAAATATCCTCTGCCCTGGGGTAGCACTTACTTTATGACCGCTCCCTAAGTAACAGTTTTATTGAAAAAGATGTTTTATAGCAGTTACTAGCAACTTGAAAAATTATTCAAAAATGAGTTATTTTCTCAGAGATCGTGAGATTTTTCAATTCAGTTGGCAAATTATTCTAAATTTTTTCACCATGGTAGCTAAAACTTCGCTTCAGTGCATTTGTTCTTGGTTTTACCAGTTTCAGCATAGTAAAATTACTGCGTAGATTATATTGATCGTTTACTGAAATGTGAAACTGGTCTGATATTAATGTATAGAAACTTCATTTTTTACTGTATTTTGCGCATAAACAAGAGCGTCTTAAAATAACCAATTTTTAATATCTGGTTTAGTGGTTGCCAATTCAGTTTGCTATAAAGAACATCTTTTGAACGAATCTCCCAATTATCTCCAGTTATAACTCTTGCTGCCCTATTTTGAAGCTTTTGAAATTTCAATTGCAACTCTAGTTTACAATTTTGCCATACTAGAGAGCAATAGTCAAAATATGGCTGC